GACACTTTACAGAAAATACAACAGCACAGATTGTTCAGAATATCAGTATGATAAAAACGACACCCTCTGTCCTTAGACCCTCTGTCCTTAGACCCTCTGTCCTTAGACCCTCTGTCCTTAGACCCTCACATCGTACAAGGAAACACTTCCAGAGAAAACCCACAGTTTAAAGGGAACATGGGAGAAACCTCAGGGAGAGCAACAGAGGAGGGATCCCTCTCCCAGGACGGACAGACGTGCAATAGATGCCGTGTGTAAATCCAAGAGATAATACATTTTACAGCATATAGACCGAATGTTAGGAAATGCATGTGTCTGTAATAAGAAGATGAATCCACGAGGATGTCAGCTACAATCCTGAGGAAGCCATCAGGGAAGCAGCATGGCGAGCCCCAAGGCAGGACCGCAGAGACAGGTTCAGCCACGACCCGAAGTCCACGACTTCATCCAGAACGATGATATGGCAGTATATTAAGGGGAGTATCCAAATTGAGACACAGCTTAGGAACACGCAGGCTTAATGTTGAGGGTAGAAGAGTTAGACAGTTGGGATGGTGGTAAGAACAAAATCACAGTGTTATCAACAAACTAATGCTGGAGGAAAACTGCTGGTCATTTTTTAGTGCAGTGTTGATTTGATGTGATGTGACAACTTCAGAACACATTAAATACAAAAACTGTTATGGAGTGTTTGACAGACTACTGTGGGGCCTTGGTGCACTTCACGATATCAAGATGCATTCAAAGTGAAACTGAGTCAAATCTTAATTGAGGTTTAGCTTTGTTTATTCTACTGTTATACATTATAATACATAGCTTGTCCCTCCCCCTAAAAGCTCATTATTATAAACAATGAATGAATTACATTTGTATTGAGAGTCACGCCATTTTAAATGATGGTAAGGAAAAGTAAGAAATGTGCAGAACAAAATGAAAGGAAGAAATAGTGGATGGTCAGATTCTATTTCTTTGTTAATCCATATTTCCTTCAACCTTAAGATATGTTCCTTTACATTGCTCTGATCTTGATAATACAAATAGTTAAAGGAGCTACAGTGAGCATTCTCTGAGGGCCAACTTCACTTTCCTGCAGCTTACTTTTATATCAAGGCTTAAAAATGTGAATTACGTTTATCCTCAGACTGCTCTAGTGTGCACTGGATACAATAGCATGTAGACACAAAGAGGAGAGAACGCACACACACACCTATTGTCGACAAAATTAAGGGTGACGGGGTCAACTGCCACCTCACCTCCTCACAATGCTATTGTGCAAACTCAAGGACAGTGGCTGGTGCACACACACACACACACATATACACACCTACACACACATATACACACATATACACACCTACACACACAGTGAATATATAACCTCTCTCACATAAACACATTGCAGTCGGTCACAGACATCTCCACTGCTCTTTTCACACTTCATTCTCAAAAGCACCTCTTCAAGTCATCGTGTGTGTGTGTGTGTGTGTGTGTGTGTGTGTGTGTGTGTGTGTGTGTGTGTGTGTGTGTGTGTGTGTGTGTGTGTGTGTGTGTGTGTGTGTGTGTGTGTGTGTTAGTGCTATGCCTTCATCATACCAGGCAGTTGTCCAGAGGCCTTCTAGCCATGAGCTCAGAGGAGCATCTCAAAAGCAAATAACTGCAAGGATTTAAGGACGAAGGCGGCCATATCTCTCTCTCTCTCAGTGCTCTTCTTTAACTACCACTGAGGTGCCCTTGAGCAAGCCTCTTGGAGTTGCTAAGTGCCTCACAAAGGTAGACGTGAAATTGGGCGGATTCCAATTATCAAGGTGAAGCTAGAAATGTCCGTTACCAATCACACTAACTGGCTCATAAAGCGCTCTCCCCGAAGACACAGCAGTGACCCTACTTTACCTCGATACAGCACAAGCATGACAACTACGGTAATAAGTGAAGACAACCAATGGTTATTGTTTGCACTGTGTAGATCCCATTAGGATTGTTATTTTCCTGCTTCTGACAAGCTAATTAAAATGTACAGGTACAGAGTTGGCACGAGAGGAAGGAAGGATGGAAGAGGAAATGGTGGAAGCCTGTCAGGGGAGAAGGAAAGGTAAAAGGCAGAATCATTTACACTGAATAGGAGTTAATGAGATACAACAAGAGGAGAGGAAATGCTTGGCAGCGTGTGTGTGGTCAGATTGTTTCTTTGTGTCTGAGGTGCCAAGTCAGAGCCTTTTTGATTACACACCTAAACTAAAAAACTAAATGGTCATCATTTTCAGTTTGCACGTATTTGATTGCCTATAAAACGAGACACTGATCACCACAGTTCACAGTAAATGAGGTCCTTTTGCAATGTTGACAGCAAGGAAAACACTTCTAGTATTTGAAGGGAGCGAGAACATTGCAGAGAATGTGCAAATGAGCTACTTAGTCTAAAAAAGAAAAGCTGCAAATTGTATTTTTAGAGTCTTGACAATTTTCTGTCTTTTTTACACAAATATGATCATTTTGAAACTCAAATAGATGTTTTTATGAAATCGTTTTTGGGGGAAAAACATAATGTAAAATATAAACCTGACTTGAAATTCTAATGCTAGAATTATGGGATATAAAACAAGCCAAGTCGATGATGCTCCTTCAAAAGACAGATGTGTTTCTTTGTTTTCTTCAGTGCTCTGCTGGAAAGTAAATAACCTTGTGCTGCCTGTGTCCTGGAGAGAAGAACAAGAACAAAAGGGGAGAGACGGTCAAGGTTCTTCTCTGAATAAAGATTCAGGGGAAGGTGCGCCATGAGATTATCCAGCAGGAAGCATAAAGAAGAGATGGGGAGAGGGATGGCATGCACACAAATGTGGAATAACAATAAGGAGGGTTTTATGTGTGAGAAGGAGACTGCACACAATGCGGCTCAAACACAACATTCCCCTCTCTCTCTCTGCCTCTCTTTTATTCAGTCTCACAGACATGCCTGTGTGCACACAGTATTATGTAAATAGTCTCTTCGGCAGAGTGCCGCTGTCACTGAGCATCCTCTGGGCCATCGAGGCAGCCTCATTAAAACAAGGCACAGCAGCCATTAATAGATACCAGTGCGCACACACATGCATACATATACAGTGTACAGTCAGAGCGTTCACACACACCAATAAAGGACCGCCCATGAAGCACGTCTCTAAATGTTCCTTTCAGGTGGCTGTCAACAAATATCTCCAAGGAAACGGCTCAAATGTCACTGAGAACAGTGTGTGTGTGTGTGTGTGTGTGTGTGTGTGTGTGTGTGTGTGTGTGTGTGTGTGTGTGTGTGTGTGTGTGTGTGTGTGTGTTGTGTGTGTGTGTGTGTGTGTGTGTGTGTGTGTGTGTGTGTGTGTGTGTGTGTGTGATGTGTGTGTGTGTGTGTGTGTGTGACTGTGTGTGTGTGTGTGTGTGTTGTGTGTGTGTGTGTGTGTGTGGTGTGTGTGTGTGTGTGTGTGTGTGTGTGTGTGTGTGTGTGTGTGTGTGTGTGTGTGTGTGACTGTGACTGAAGCACAAAGAAAATGGACTGTGCTGCGTAAACACACTCAAGGCCAACGCCACAATACAGTCGGCCCACCGCTGGTTCTGTTCTGTGTGTGTGTGTGTGTGTGTGTGTGTGTGTGTGTGTGTGTGTGTGTGTGTGTGTGTGTGTGTGTGTGTGTGTGTGTGTGTGTGTGTGTGGTGTGTGTGTGTGTGTGTGTGTGTGTGTGTGTGTTGTGGTGTGTGTCATATAGTATTAATCTCAGGCTTCTCTAGTTCTCAAAATGTACGAGAGCACATTGGAGTTGGTTTGCTGGAAGAGGATGGGCTCGATGGATTTGCAAAAATATAAGGATTATAAGGTTGTAAGCAGAGGTGGGAAGTAACTCAGTACTTTACTTAAGTGTGAAGTACAATTCTTGAGATACTTGTACTTTACTTGAGTTGTTTCAATGTTATGCTACTTTGTACTTCTACTCCACTACAGCTCAGAGTTGAATGGTGTACTTTTCCTCCACTACATGTATTTAATACCTTTAGTTACTTTCCAGATCTGGATGAATGATGTGAAACATAATCAACTCAAGGTATTATATCTTGTGATCCTGTGTGAATTACAATGATTAGTTACAATGCAAAGACTCGAGGTTCAGATGCTTTAAGCAAATCCCATTGTTCTAATTGCCGATGTGTTTCTTATACTGTGGCAGTTTCCCTCAAATTAGATCTAAAATAGCCGAATGTATTGCTTATATTACAGTATCTCAATATATATATATAATTCTAACCCATGCAACTTGATACAAATCTTACACCAGATCATCCTAATATGTAAAGAACTGTTCAGAACATTTTTGGACTGGATTGTTCCTCTGTAGTCCTGGGACAGATGTTGCAACGTCTTGACTAAAAACAATCGTGACATTTAAAAAATAACAAGGTAATAAAGTCAATAGAAATAGACAACATAGACTGTTGTTGACTGTTGCTGTGTCTAAGATAAGAAGAACTTAATTGATCCTAATTTGGGAAATGTTTGCGTTGCAGCAGCTCGAAAAGACAAGGCAAGACAAGCCAAAATGTAAACGTCTCAAATAGAAATAAAATAGCATTAAAAAAGTAAAAAATACATGTGGAAATACAACATAGACGGTTGTTGACTTTTGCTGTGTCCAAACCCTGTGAAGTAAAAGGGGGTTGTGGTGTTGACAATTGTTGGACTGGATTGTTCATCTGTAGTCCCTGGACAGTTGTTGCAAAGTCTGACTCAAAACCATTATGACTTTTGGAAAATAACAAAGTAATAACGTCAATAGAATAAGACTGTTGCTGTGTCTAAGAAAATATAAGAAGTACTTTATTGATCCCAATTTGGGAAATGTTTGCGTTGCAGCAGCATAAAGACAATGCATTGTACAATAGAGAAATTAAAAGACAATAGAAACGTACACCATAGACTCTTGTTTTGTCCAAACCCTGTGAAGTAAAAGGAGCCTGTGTCTGTTTCTGATGTGCTGGCCCCGCAGGTGGCTCCCGAGGTGTGGGTTTCATCCGCTTTGATAAGAGGATAGAGGCAGAGGAGGCCATCAAGGGTCTGAACGGACAGAAGCCCTCCGGCGCCGCAGAGCCCATCACCGTCAAGTTCGCCAACAACCCCAGCCAGAAGACCAGCCAAGCCCTCCTGTCACAACTCTACCAATCCCCCAACCGCCGATACCCCGGACCCCTGCACCACCAGGCCCAGAGGTTCAGGTGAGTGCTGGGGAAAGCGATGTTCATGGAGGAGGAAGAGAGACGAGAGAGGGTGGGAAAGGGTCGAGAGTTATATTGGGTATATGGTTTTAAAATGTGTATTTAATGCAGAGTTTCCCCACCGTTGGAGCTCAGCCAGTGTAAGGGTTTCTCATGTTCATACGGTGACCCCACCTAAATTCTTGATTGATAACCAATGTTAGAAGTTTAAAATGTGTCAGATAGTTGTGGAGTTGAAGGACCTATTTTGGGTTCCCATTCATTTTCTCCATTAAACATTTAAAGTGACTCGCTGCAGGAGCTCTTTTAACACTTGGATTGTCATCTCATAGAGTCTGATTCAAGATTAGTAGTAGTTGATCTGCATTCGAAGATATTGGATTCCTAATATAAATAAATAAAATAGTCAAATCTACAAGCAGTCAAAAAAACTTAACGTTAGAAGTCAAGCTAGACACCCAATGTGTATTTTGGCCTTATTTTCCAGAGCTTAAGATTGTGTGTTAAAATAATAATGGCCAGTAAGGGTATCTCGACAACCTATAAGTCACTACTGGAACTTGCTTTTCCACAGTACTGTAGGGACCATGAGTAAGTAATAAATTGTGTTCTGGATGCAGTAAACTCACTAAGGAAACATCCAGGGGACGCACCCATTTTTCTTTCTAGTAATTCTATATTTTGAACAATAAATTGAAGTTGAAATTGTCAGGAGGAGAACTGGTTAAAAGAGGTTCAATAGAGTTTCATTAAAGTGCATTCATGCTACATTTAGTCAAATTAACTATTGAGCAAAGATGAATTATGTTGTTAGGATGTGTTCAATTGTAATCGAGTAAAATATTGGCTTTGTGGAGAAACTCCAACACTATTTATCAACAATATTATATGTATATTATATAGGGAATTAGTTATTAGAGAGGGAACAGTATGAAATTAAAGTCAATTTGGAAGTTCATGGAAGTTAGTTTTTGGTGTTAACCATGGATAAGATAATTGTGACATATCATTGGAATCGTGACACTCTTAATGGCCATATCGTTAACATTCAAACATAACCAGGAGCCCTTAAATGTGAAATCAGAGAGGGATATCAACTTTCCACGATCAGCAGCTGCTCCTACTCACAGCCCTACTTAGCTCATGATGTAACGAAATGAAACACAAAATGCTCGGGGCTTAGAAGGATGAAGAATAAGAACGGGGTCACCAGGAACATTTGCCCAAAAGGTTGGAAATCTCCAGGTTCAGGAGTTCAAGTTCAGAGTGCTGGAAAGCAGCCGACATTTAGACACAGTGATCCACAGCATCATGATTTCTAAATCAAGTATAAGGTATAAAAACTCCAGTGGGTTCGCTATCATTAAAAGAAACACAGGATTGCTATTTAACATCATCAGTCTCGTTCTCGATGGCAATTGTTCTCGGCTTATGTAACGATAAATGAGTTTTATCCACCACATCTGTTCTAAACAACAAGCCTGATTTGGAAAACATTCGCACCAAATGCAATTTAAAACGTCGAGGGATGTTACACCCACAGGAAGAGAGCATGAGTCACAGCAGAATCTTATCTACCAGCAGCACTTTTTTTCTCCTGTGAACATTTATTTCAGAAAACAAGTCCTCCCCTTCCTTTTGAACAACAGGTGTGAGCTCTGCAGCCGACGCAGGTGTCGATACATCAAACCGTGGGTCCACCCAGATTAGAGAGGATCTGTTCACGAGAGACTGTGGGGTTCTGTCGTTCACAACTACGTCTTTCCCCTCATTTCATCATGCTGCCATCCTGTCAACACATCCCAGAAGCCTGTGAGGGCTACATGTATTTGGATTAGTGTAAATGTTAATCAAACGTTCCCGTACTCATTTAAAGCCCACATTTGGCATCATGTGGTCATAATAGGCACAGAAGTGTAAATTGTCTCACTTCAAATACATGTTTTTAAAAGCATAAATGAAATAGTGCCCTGCGTAAGAAGCTGGAGTTATGTCGGAGAGACTAATGTTTTTAATCCAATGAACAAAAGGTAAATCAAAACAAATGATGCCCAATTAAATTTAAGGATTTAGGGTTTAACCTTGATTCAATCTAATTAAATAGAGTGCATATTAAGTACTTTTCCAAAACGTTTGTTTCACAGGTCTGTAATGTCCACAACAAGCTGTCCCTTAACATCGTATACAGTATTTGTATATGCTGTATATATGGCATACATATAGTCATGTCCTGTCACTCACTAATGACACAAACAAGTATTTTTCTTTCATGTAAACGTTAGCTATCAGGGCTCAAATCACGCTAGCTTCCACTTTAACAAAACACGACACAGAAACAAGCGATGGCTCGACGATGCTATCATCCGGATCCAACGAGGAACATTTTCAGAATTGGGAAAAGAGGAGATGTGCTTATACAATTTCCCCCTCTCTTTCAATAACAGTAAGCCGGTCGTGCTGTTTACTCTCTATCAAAGTCAGCGCTCGGAAGGTATTTTTCTGGCGGAGCGGCTTCCCTGGTGTGACACCTGAGCGATGTAGCGTGGCTGTGTGTCTGTGATACGCCAAGCCAATTTACAGGCTCTGCAGGAGAGCTGTCGCTTCTCATCTCGACTCACAGGACACTTCCTAACTGCGTCTCTGTGCTCCTGCTCCCAAACCTGCCTCTAAAAACCCCAACATTTCACAAGTGGGAAATGTGTACGATGTATGCACAGTTTCCATTTCTTTCTTTTATTTCAAAATCCTTTAAAGGCAGTGCAAAAACTCCCTTATTTATCACGGTGTTCAGTCAAACCTGAGCTACCGTTTCTTCTGTTGATCTCGTCAGGAGACTTCATTAAATGTTTAATAAGATACAATTTACTCACGAAGTAAACATGCTTGTGACTCACTGGATGTACTGTAAGCCTCAAACAACTCTACTGTTGGTATACTATATTAAATCTAGATGCTGATGATTAAGTAAGATGTGAACGATTGTTTCAAAAGGTTAAAATACATCTAATTAACTTGAAGCCAAAAGGATCTACTCATGTATGCCTGAAACTAAATGAAATGTAAATTAGCCCTGGGAGAAAAATCAATTAAGAGATTTAAATCTGATACTAAGTCAACACAGTATTCAGTCAAACCTGAGCCACTGTGTGTTCTGCTTGACTCTTAGAGAGAATCATTCAATCTAAAGTAAGATATGTGTATGTTTTAAATGTAAACACATTGAATTAACTCGTAGTAGTAATAATAATAATAATAAAGCAGAAACGGATCTACCTGTTTGCTTGAAACAAAATGAAATGTAAATTAGCACTGGGATAGAAAATCCATTAGAGATTAGAAAGCTGATACTCCTGCTCTTCTCCCTGATCCAACACAGTATTCAGTCAAGCCTAATACACCGTTCGTTCCATTCTACTCAAAAATGTGTAGTAATAAAAGTAAAAAATGTAATATTTGTATGTTTCAAAGATGTAATTAACAAAGAAAAGGCAAAAATATCCCCTGAAGTATTCCTGAAACAAGATTAGCTCTGGGGAAAAACCCCATTAGATATTAGAAGGCTGATACTCCTGCTCTTCTCCCTGATCCAACACAGTATTCAGTCAAATTAATATACCGTTTGTTCCATTTTACTCAAAAATATGTATTAGTAAAAGTATTAAATGAAATATTTGTATGTTTCAAAGATGTAATTAACAAAGAAAAGGCTAAAAGGGTTAGGCTTCAGTATTCAGTCAAACCTAATATACCGTTTGTTCCATTCTACTCAAAAAATGAAATACTTGTATGTTTCAGATACAAAATACATGTAATTAATAAAAGAAAGACAGAAATATTATATCAGTATTCCTGAAACAAGATTAGCTCTGGGGAAAAACCCCTTGAGAGATTATAAAAATAATACTCCTCCTTGTTTCCAAACGTAACACATTTGTGCTGCTGCTTATAGGTAAGTGAGAAGCAGAATGATCCTGTGTGACTAAACCATGTTGGCCTGCTGCAACACAAGATGTATAATATGCTTTGGTCGCTCTCAAAGACCATCAAACATCTCCGACTCGAGCACAATGCAGCGAGATCCTCCGTCGTTAACTAATGTCCCTAATTAGCCTTATTATATCCGGGGCAGGAGCCAATTTTAATTGAACGGGTTTTTGTTTCAAATAAAAAGGGGAAGACAAAAACACCCATTCCTCCATTAACGTGCATTGAGAGAAGGAACAAAAGGCGCCATTGTTTATGTGGAGCTTGGAGAGGCAGTGTGAAAAGCTGCCGGAGTGTGTGTGTGTGGTGAGCGAGCATCGGTGTGCGTGAGGTGGAGAGAGAGGCAGCAGCAGGTTGTTTTGTTGTGGCCCTTCGGCATGCGTCCAGCAGATGTCCTCCCGCGCCTCTGAGCATCCTCTACAATTGACTCATTTACCCACAAAGCAGCCTGTTTGTTCGCTTCCCACGTAATGAGCTAATTACTGCTTTAATGACTCCGTAGACCCCTTCCACTTCTATCTGTTCCTTTGTTTTAGGGCTCTTAATTCAGGGTTATATCAGGAGGGAGAAAAGGGCAACAGAGCAGACACACCCGATAATAAGTAGGCCTACAAAATACAACAATAGCTTACAGAATGAATTAATAAATTATCTTCAACGTGGGGATTTCTTTGAAAGCACGTATGACTTTTTTAGGACATCTGAAAGATTTAAATGCATCTTAAACGTTTAAATAAATAACAAATCAATACTTGCAGCTTGTAGATAATATTTAAAACATGTTATTACTTTGCGTTTGTGTCCTGATCATCAGTACTAAGATTTCTTATTTATAAGGTACTTAACCACAATTACCTGGCACCCAGTTGTTTTATTGTCCCTGATTAAAAGATCTGTTATCTCTAACATGCAATTCGATTTTAAATAATCATTGTTAATAGTATTGCGATTATTCTTGAACAAGTTATTAAATAAAACCTTTCACAACCTAATTGCCCACCTAATTAAAATCAAATAATAATGAAGTTGTTTATTCATCATTTGAGAATGCCAGCTTGTCATTGTAGAAGATTAAGCCTGATAAAACATTTCAAGATAAGACGTTAATGCCGTGTAGAAGCTAATGCTTGTTGACTGGAAGAGACAAGGAGGAGCAGCGGGGCTAGTGGAGTCAAAGTCAGAGAGTTTTTAAGTGTTTTCAGGAGGAACGAGGTGTCGCTGGCCAGCTGTTGCTCAATAAGCCGTGGCCTCTGTCCATTAGGCCGGAGGAGTTAAGACATGAGACAGGCCAGACCCAAGTGAGGAATGAAGGTCATTGAGTCAGCAGACTGCATCCATCCAAGAGCGCCAATATTTCATACAGCCCACAGGTTTCTGAAGTCCGCCTCTCACACACACACACACACACACACACACACGCACACACACTTAAATGTACCCTTCCCGACTGCAATGGCTACTGTTACCAAAACATTTCCCAAACCCTTTTAGACCGAGGGCCCTGTTTGACTAACACTTTCCATCCGACCTGTGAGCACTTAACCAGCTGACCCTGATCACAAAGACAGACATTCACAATTTCATGGCTGGTTGAATGTTCTTTGTTAGTCCACCTCATTCAAAAACATACTAATCATCACTTCGCTCGCTCACCATCATTCAAATGCCAAACCATTACACTGACAGAACTCTGGATCACTTCCTGTCATCAAACCCGCAATTCAGTTAAGAATCAAAGACAATAGTCCAAAATAAATCATCTTCCAATAAAGCATTAATGTGGCTACACAAATTGTATGTATACCTGAAAGTACTGAAAGTAATTTGCCATTGCGTAGCACCATGGCTAGCCTAGCATCCTAGTAGTGCCATGTGCTATGCTATGCTAACGCCCAGCCGCCATGAGGGCTACTATATCTATATCTATATGTGATTATAATACTAAACTGTGACCAGTCCACTGCTGTCGTCTTGTATAACGTTAGAACGGTGTCACCAACAGTAACTTTGTGTGCCTCTCTGCTCTGGCGTAAGCTAGCGCAGGGCTATGCTATCACTGCAGTCGCCAAGCTAGTACCAGCACACTGATGGGACTGTAGCTTCATTATCCGATGATAGCATTTTCTGGTGGGGCTCCTCAGTGTAATGGGCCAACTATAGATGAGTTTGTTTGTTCTTGAGTGAGGAGGACCCTCGAGTTCCTGCAGGGACTTAACATTAGTTCCATTGAGTGAGTCGACCATCTGCCCACCATTAACCCCAGAACCCTCCTTCTCTTTACAGGCTGGACAATTTGCTTAATATGGCCTATGGCGTAAAGAGGTAATTAAAAACTTCACCCAATGCCAGATGTCCATGTTGACTCAATGATTTTTCAATATCCTTTTTTTCTGTTTTCTTTCTTCTTTTATTAGTTTATGTTTCCTTGTATTTTTGCAGTCACTTTGCGTTTTCAATTAGTTCAAGGTCAACTGCATTTTTGGTTCTTTAATTTGTTTCTTTTCCCTCGTAAGCTTCAGTTGGTTTATTAAAACCCTACCAACCACTTAACGGTGTTAAAAAAAAATCTGAAAACAATTAGTGTTTGTTTTCAGTGGTGATGGATTTGCTTTGTTTTCATTATGACCCGTGCTGGTGTTGTTTGGAATGTGTTGGGTTGTTTCTGTGTACTGAATGGATTTTGTTCGCTGGTGTTAAACTCTTAATTTCTAGGTGTGTTTATTTCTACCGGATTCAGGTTCTCCTGCCTCGTCACCCCACAGCTATAGCTCAGAACCAAACCTTCATCAAAAGGAGCCATTTTGAATTGAACAGCTATTTCCTCACATCATCATGAGAATAAAACCTTTGTACATCCACTTTTAACTATGTATCCAATCCTTTATTGGATGGATACATAGGTTCAGTGGAAGCAATGACAAAACTATAAATTGCCTTATATCTTTGGCTGAGATAAGTAGACGCAGGATGAGGCGGGATGAACCTGGATCCCTGCTGGAAACAGGGAATGCTGTTTCACTGCAGACAGCTCCAGCTTTGCTCGGCACTGCTCTGCTCAAATTCCTTCCTTTCGCCTCCATGTTTCATTTTGCTTTCTCGCTACCTTAGGTCTTACATAACCCCGAGCCGCAGCCACTGTGGTGATGGATGTTTCATGCGCTGACAGTGGCATCTTGCATGTTGCAAGCACAGGGGACACCATCTGAAGTCAGCTTAGCAACTCAAACAGGGAGGAAGCTTTAGCTCCAGAGAAATGTTCCCTTAGCGAGTTCCCGGGAAAAGCTATAATTGTGTTCAACCCTCACTGCCTCCCATGCCCGATAAGCACTTTAAGTCGTAACATCATTTTCTTAAGATGAAAATAGTGTGCGATTCAGCCGTCCTGATTGCAAAGCATGCCAGCAAGTTAGAAGTGCTTTCCGGTGATCTGAGGTTATTATTTGAAAGGAGAGAGAGAAGAAAGGTGTTAAGAGCTGGAGATGGTTCGCTTTAAAAAGGACAGAATAGATATCTGGTCAGCTACACTGTTGCTATGCAACCCCTGGTCTCGTCTGTAACATTGGTTAGTGTTTGGTCCCGCTCTGATGGGTACGCTCGCATGCACGTTTGCACACACAGACACACAACTCCACGTCTTCACAGTGGAGAGTGTTAGCCAGCCTCCAAACCGTCACACTCTCACAATCCTCCTCACACACAGTACTCCGGCTTTTGCATATAAATCACCCGGGAGTTTTTCCCGCGCCCAGCAGGAGAGGCCTGAACCCAGCCGAGCATATCAGACGAGTCCTCGACGCCATGAAGCCAGTTTAGATTCTTCTTGCTTCATACTGGAGAAAATATTCTCAACAATACATCTCGGCCAAGGAGAGATGTGTGTGAGGCAATGGAATCTTTTATAACACTGTTTTTCTGCAGGGTGAATATAAAAACATCCCCACTCTCTTTATCATACAGAAAGATATAGTACCATAATCTGTTCACTTACTTTACACACTAAAGGAACGTCCAATCAGAGCTTTTACAGTAACCCTAGGTGCGTGTATTACGTGCACGGCTACAACAATGGCCAGAAGCAAACTCTGCGAGACCAAAGTCATGCAGGAAGGTCGCAGTGATTGCCGGCCATATATAGTCACTGGAGAGCGAGGGGTGCTATCGATCAGTGCCACCGGCTCACGAAGAGAACAGAAAACCCTGCAGACTGGGAGGAATACACTTTGTACCTTAATGCCACTAGGCTGCAAAGTGCTTTCATTTTCCATTTAGTTTGCCACCTTTTCTTTTAAGAAAGCAGGCTTCTCTGAGACAGCTGCAGCAAAGCGGAAATCTCAATTAAAGCACGCCCAATAATGCCTATAGTCGTTTCTTGAAGAGAGGTGGAATAAGAAATTCTCATTTACCTTTTATTTAAAAGTGGGTTTTTTTTTGTTCCTTCTTTTCCTTTGAGCGGAAAGGCAATTAAGTGAAGTCAACTGAGGATTCAAATCTCTTGCATCACAAGAAAAAGGGGGAAGATTATGAGGCGAATGAGAACAGATTTAGCTGTGATGGCGTGATCTTTGATGGATTCCTAGCATCGCTTCAATTCAACAACTTCCTGCAATCTAGCTCCGAAAAGAGCCACTCAAGGACACAAAGACCGAACCTTCGCCTGCATCTCCTTCAGCAGAAAAACAGCTCGGCACGCAGCGCTGTCGTCACTCCTGACAGGAGGCCTCTCAGAATTGAGGAGCTCATTTAGTAGTAGCTATGGAGACACACATTCACTAACCTCTGCATGAACACACATGCCCTTTCAATAAAGCCCCATGCAGATGCACCCTAGTTCAGACGGGGTTGGAGATCAGTTTTTGGAGTTTGATCAGAAAACTAGGGAAGCTTGTTATTTCTTAAGGCTGTAGAAAGTAGCTGGTGAGCGTCATGGCAAGCTTTTAGATTTGTAAGGAGGATTATGTTTAAGAATGAGGCTCTCAAAAGACAAATCGACATGTTTTTCACCGGTGTATGGCCATTTCATGAACAGTACATGCAGACATTAAGTTCACCCGTCCACCTCGACTCTCCATTAACACTCCCTCTTGTCTCTCCCCCCTTCTTCTGCTCTCCCTCTCCTCTCAGGTTCTCCCCCATCACCATTGACAGCATGACCAGCCTGGTGGGCATGAACATCCCCGGGCACACGGGCACCGGGTGGTGCATCTTCGTGTACAACCTGTCCCCGGACTCGGATGAGAGCGTGCTCTGGCAGCTGTTCGGGCCCTTCGGAGCCGTCAACAAACGTGAAGGTGATCCGCGACTTCAACACCAACAAGTGCAAAGGCTTCGGCTTCGTCACCATGACGAATTACGACGAGGCGGCCATGGCCATCGCCAGTCTCAACGGCTACAGGTTGGGCGACCGCGTCTTGCAAGTCTCCTTCAAGACCAACAAGACACACAAGTCCTGAACTTTAACAGGTAGAAGCAGTTGCCCTGCGACTTTGTCTGCTCCCAAATTGCCCCCAACCTCCCCGTCCCTCCCCCCCCCCGTCCCTTAGCCCCTTCAGTCACTACCCACCCTCTACTACAGCCATCCAACACAGCAAACTCAAACTCCAACCGGAACACAAAGCAACCAACAAACCATCAAATAAATTGAACTAGAAATGGCTTATATTATAACTTTGGACCTATAAGCCAATGTTGCCTAAGTATTACAAAAATGAAATGATGAAATTGTTCATACGTTTTAGGAGGCTCCTGTGATAATGCAGGCTTCCCTTTGTTGTGTATTCTTTCTGTTCGTTGTGGTTGTTTCAATGAGTTTTCTCTCTTCTGTGTAAACAGTAGCAAATCCCTGTATCCCCTAATTCCAGAGAAGAGAATGTCCTTTTTAGATTGAAAACCTTTTCTCTGTCTTGATTCAGGATTTGTTTTTCTTTTGTAAATCCGGATCCACTGTCGTTAGTATTATATACCTCCCTGTCGGTGAAAGGGAGGAGGCTCTTTTTTAAATTGGTGAACCATTCATTCATTTTTAGTGTGTATCAAAAACGTCCCCTTATCGATTATTAAATGGGATTCCACAGTCCGGTAACTCTGATGTAGAAAACAAATAATATAATGTCTTTCCTCACTGGGGTTCAGGGAGATGGGGCGAGGGAGGGGATGGGTTAGCTTTCCTGATGACACGTAATTTAAGAGAAAAAATAACACTGTTGCCAAAGAGAAGATCTCTTTGCTTGAAAAAAATGCATTTAGAAAAAGATAAAAATGAAGAGAAAGAAGATCTATTTTTATAAATGATAATTAAAAGAATAATTATTGAAGAATTTTTACAAGAATCTGGATTTGAAAAAAGAGAAAAATATTTTGACTGGCTAACTAGGGGGGGCCGGGGCGGGAGGGGGGGGACACCACCTTGTCTTGTCGTTCTGCCGTGGTACTTTATAGGATCGAAGGTCTGCTTGTTTTTTGGGGAATCCAAGTTGGAGGTGATTTTGTAGATGGAAGGGATGCAAACCGAGGCAGGTGATTTTGGTAATTTTTCACATATGTACAAGTGCGTAATTATTCAACAGCGATACCCAAAAGGGAAGGGAGTGGGGTCTTTCCGAGGCCGAACCATCCTTATAGTCCAGAGCCCAAAGCAAGAAGACCCTTTGTCCACTTGTTTTCGCCATCGAGTCAATATGGGATATCAGTAAATAGATATATACACATCTATCCGTTTAGAGAGCATACTATACATTACCTATATCATTTTTCTTCACTCTGCGTTTGTGAATTTGAAAAGAACTTCCTTTTAGCGATCAACAGTAGGTGCTATACTACATTATTCACATATCTTAAATATCCAAGTTTGTTGTTCTATGTGTTGTTTAAAGATAAAAAAATACTTCGATGTTGGCATTGAATTGAGCTGCTGTTCTTTGTTTAATATTTGTTTATTGTTAAGCCCAAAAGAATCTGGTGAGACGATTTCTTTGCTGAATAACCAGATGATTGATTTTTTGGGCCTTGTAAGAATCACTGAACTTTGAGTTGGTATCCTTTTTGTTTGGCTTGCTGACTTTTTAGGTTACTTGCTGAGCGTGAAACGTTTGTCAAAACTAAATGATGATTAGCTAGTTCCGTTAGTCTAGATATTTGTTTCCTTAAAAAGGATCTATGACAACTGTGTCTTTATTTGCTGTGTACAAATAGATGATATATATATATACATATATAGTCTACATTTGTTTTACAATATCTACTGTACTATATGAGTTGTCACTGTTCTTTTGTTTGAGCTTGTCTTTTTCATATGACAACTTATTATGAAGTGGTGGTTCAGTTACTTAGAGAAACTTGTGAGGAAACTGTTCAATTGTTGTCATGTTGCTTGTGGAGAAAAAAAAAAGATTTGGATTAACTTTCAGTTAGCTAACCGCGGCAAAAGAAACCGAACAAAAGCTTAGAATATAACTGTATTTGTTTACTTACTTATCGATTTTTTAAGACTATTTATTTTTTCTATTTATTTGTATTTATTCAATATTTATTAATTGGTTTATTTATCTGTGTATTTATGTATTTATTTGTTTCATTGTCTGTGTATTTGCGTGATTCTGGTACAGGGAGGGGGCGTTTCTGAGCAAAAGGGAACAAAGCGACTAGTGGAGCGGCTCGTCCAGTAGTCCACTGCACTGAGAGAACTTTTAGTACGTTCGTGCTTTGTACCAATATATCAAAATTACAATATAAAAAATCTAAAAGTCAAGAAAACTGAAAAAAATGTCTGGAGGGTTGGGGGACGCTCTTCCCTTATTACTAGAAACAGTTACTCGCTATGCATAACCTAGTTAATAGTTACATTTGCTCTTGCTTTTTTCTTGTCTTGTTCAAATGAAATCTCTAGATCTTTTTCAATAAAGTTTAGTCTTAATAGAATGTTATAAACAGTCGTTCTGGTTCAATATAACCTGTGATAAGTTTGTGTTGTTCTAAAAAGCCACTCCGTCCACACCCTCCCTCCACTTACTACCGCTTTGTGATGAAACCTTATGCAAAAATGTGGGTCTGAAAGCATCGTTTTCAGTTTTCAGTGAAACATTTTATATAACATCCAGCTCTTGGAGGCTCGGGCACATAACATTTAAAAAAACGGGAGCAAATGCTCGTTGTTTGAGGGTCATTCATTGCACTGGACTAAAAATCGGTCAGAATCACTTAAGAGTTAAAACTTATTTTTAAAAATCATGTTTTCAAATGACATACCAACAAATCTAAAAAAGAAAAAAAAAGGAATTGTTACCATTGCACACCAACTGTGATTTACAGCAGTTGTTGCTATACTCTGGAGAAATGAAAAAGGGATTGTACCGATTCTATATTTTATATACTCTAATATGATATATATTATATATTTTGAAAGGTGAAAGGGAATGGTTCCAGAAGTATAAATATGCGGAATTGGATTATTTTGTTTGTTGTTAAGACTTGAAAACATGAAGGAGGTGTGCGGAGAGCATTTCAAACACTCAGACGCATGCTCGCATAGGGACATCCTCCTCTCTCACACCTCAGTCATCTGACAGGCCGGCTCATCTATATCCTCATCGCCATCCCGTCGTCATCCAATCACATAGTTTTCTAACGTCATTAACGGCAACAAAACCCACCCACCCACCAACAGACCAACCAGACCCTTCACGCTCCCAGCCGCCGTCGGGAGCTTGAATTATGCAACGACCCCAGTAGAATGTTGTTCTGACGTGTGAACTAATTTCCTACACTTGTATGACTTTTGAACTCTTACGATGCGTGCCTGTGTTTCCGCCTAGACCCTGTGTGCACATGTGTGAGTGTGTGCGCATGTGTGCATGTTTGTATGCATGTTCCTTTTATGTAGTTGTGTGCCGTGTCCTCATTATGTGTGTTGGCGTGGTTACGTGTTTGTGATTGTGTGTGCGATTTGGGTCTGTTTTGTGCACATGTATACTTAGTTTATGTGTGAATCCCTGAGTGAACGTGTGTGCGGATGCTGGAGACGTGTGTGTGTGTGTGTATGTGTGTGTGTGTGTGTGTGTGTGTGTGGTGTGTGTGTGTGTGTGTGTGTGTGTGTGTGTGTGTGTGTGTGTGTGTGTGTGGGCTGCGTCACCTCGCTCTATGCCCACCCCTATGGCTCACACCATCCCCTGTAGCGCCTTATAGTGGCAGCCTGCCAGTAGGAACAACGCAGCCAGTAGTGGAGGAGGGAAGGTGAACAGAGGAACTAGGCTCTTCTTGTCAGTTTTCATTGTTTTCCTCCTGAGACGTGTTTGTTTACTATCTGAAAAATCTATAAACTAAATCTTTAAAGACAAAAAAGACGAAAAAATGTTCACAGGGCCCCATGACCGCGGCTCTCTACTCTCTCCTGCTTATGTTATTACTTAACAATTATTATGATTATTATTGCTATTATTCTTAGTATTCTTATTCTTATTATTAATCCAATTACTGCGATGAATGACTTCATGTTATCCTTGCTAGTTTAGGTCATTTCTGAAACTGGAAACAAAATAAAAATCTTGCTGTAAATGTTTGTTTTTTCTTTTTCATAAAACTGTTGTGTTTGAATTATTTGTACTTTTGAATGTTGGGACAATAAAATGAGGTGTTAAGAGCTTGGATGTTTCTTGTTGTGATGAATGAAGCACTTCAATATAATACACTTTTATAAGGGGGGGGGGGGGCATCTTGCTTATCCTTGCCTACCACTCATTTGTTGTTGGTTGGATTCACTAAGGGAAATCAAAAAGGGTTTAATGATAATTCACCTCATTAATAAAGCTTACACAATGAGACGTGCACTCAATATGTGGACCTTTGTAGCGTATATTGAAATAAGCATGAACGACTCAACAATTTAGGCTGAAAACGTACGGCAACTTCAATAACATATCGTTTTTGAGGCATAACAAAAAAAGCAAGATTTGATAATTTGCCATTTCCACACATTTATGGCTTTTTATAGTTCTTTGGTCTGAAAATGTATTATTTTTGCACACCATGAGTCTTTTGAGGCAGTAATCTTGGGCTCAGTGAAATTATGTATAATTAATTTAGTGTATTTTAATATGTAGGTGTTGAGGTTTATCATTTATTTATGAAGTACCATTAAAGCGCTCTATGAATAACATTTAGCATTTGTATTACAAGTGAAACAACCTATTAATCATAAGTGTTTTGCAGAAAATCATGATCCTCCTTTCATTAGTTATAGCTGCAGCCTTTGGTTTTAAAACATGTTTCCGTCGTCACTTGGGAGAAGATTCACGTTATAAATACGACACAACAGAAGTAACGGCGACAGTAAATCACAGATTGAATCAGAGTGACCTTTCAGCGTCTGAGGGACAGTCACGACTCTGAAACACTGCAGACATTAAACGCAGCGCTGATCCCAGGCAGGCTTTAAGGTGCTGCTGGAGGACAGAGGAGAGGAATCAGCGAGATAACACTGCCCCCTGCATCCTCACACCAATATCTGTGGTAAATGTTATCTTTTTATTTCAATAGAAACGTCAACAGTCGGCCCAGAAACACCTGAAGCGACGGGACTCAGAACGAAGCCTCTGAGGAGAGAGGAATATCTCTTCTGCCTGCACACCACATCTGTTCATCAATAACAATGTTCTCAATGTACTCGGTAATGTTCAGTGATGTGAGCCCAGCGTTACGCCTTCATAATCCAAATCACACCGGAGAGCTTTGCGGCGGCTGTGGAGGAGACGATGGTGTGTTCAGCCACTCTTGTCTTTCATCTCCCGTTGTTAGCAACTTAATGATCCTCCACTCTCATCAAGGAGACGGGGAGGACATGAGTCAGCGTGTGCTCTCGACTTTCCTTTTGAACCGACTTCTTGGGGGTTTAAAAGGCAATAACAAGTTCAATAAACAACTGTTGATTCCAACTTTCACGCTATGATAAGAAGAAGTCTGATTTGCTCCGCCGTGACTCAGACGTGGCTAAAACAAAATGCAGCGTGAAATATCTCAGAATATCTCAAAACAAGACGTTTAAATATCAAAAGGGGAAGTGCTGAGATTTGTTGGGTTTAATATGGCTCACTTCTCACCATATTCTGTCACAAGGTGCAACCATATGATGCTGCCTCTCAGTTTCTATATAAACCACTTTTCATCTGCTGGGTGAGACTGATCACACTCCTCCATGGTGTGAATGTCAGCTTCCTGCCGTGCGCCATGTAGACGGCAGATCTGCCAAATGACAAGCCTCACAGTCGGAGGCATATTATTTCATAAGGAGCTACTTGTGTTTGACACATCTTGCGGCGGGGGGGGCTGTTGTTGCCCTCTAGCTCTCCTTGGCACTCTCTGACATTAATGGGATACCTCTCTCACCCCTCGGTCCACTTTAGAGATTTCACACCGCCTAATCAAAAGACTCTCAGCTTCACTTCACGTTACTTATTAACAGAGCTGCTCTCAGACAAGTCCACTTCATTTTCTGTTTTGGCATTAACGCACTGATTGGACAATCTATTTAATTATAAAGTTTATTTTAATGGGTTACTTTGCCTGGTATAATGCGCTCAGTCTATTCCAGTTAGTCTCAGAAACACAAAGCTGTTTTAGTTGCTTTGCTGCGACCTTAGAGATACGTTTTGATGAAAAGATAATTACAAGTGTTAACTTTTCAAAAAGCATTATTGTTTTTCAGGCAGGATTTTACTTTATTTCACATTTTGATTCACTAACAGAAGTTTTAACCGCCGAAAGTGGGAACATTTTGTCTTCTTACTTACATTTACCTCTCGTACAATAACTCAATAAAGCTTTAAAGTGACATTTATAATATATATATTTTGTGAACTGTCAAAAGAGAGAAAGAATTCACTGACAAGATGGATACACGATACTTGGAAACATTTGACCCCACTCCTCCGTAAACCCTGTGGCAGTCAGCCATATTATGTTGCAGTGTACACATGTCATTGTATTATAATAATAATACATTTTATTTGTAAAAGGCGCCTTCCAAAGCTCTCAAGGTTGCCGTAACAACACGAAACAAAAAATGAAACAACACAATATAATCAATCAAATCAGAGGACGTGTGATGTGACCAGGGCGGATATGCCAGTGTGAAGCGATATGTTTTGAGACGTGATTTAGACTTGCATCAAACAGAAGATAAATGTCCCCACGGTATCGTATGCTCAGCCTTTAGAGCAGTGGCAGCGCCAGGGTATGGCTGGGGTAGGCTACAGCCATACAAAGAAATGGCTTAGCCCCACCATGACAAATGATGTTAAAGTAAGCAAATTAAATTAAATAATAAGCAAAATGTTGAGAAAACGGCTTGCGAAAATATACGGGTCGTGTCCACAACACACAAACTGATCCTGCAACAAGTGCACGTTTTATTTCATACAGTTCCATTTTGATTGAGACAGGGAAATAATCTAAACCTCACGCGTGGCGTTTCACTGTCAAGGGGGCGATATAGCGTGTATGTAATTACATTGCAAATACTGACTTGAGCCCCACCACTGTATGGGTTAGCCCTACCAGAGATTACCCAACACAAATACTCTGGCGCCGCCACTGCTTTAGAGCGATGCAGTGAGGACGTATGTTTAAAGGCGGACCCGGAAGTTAGCACAGCAAGAGCTCCCTGAGCGGAAAGCCAATGGGATCTTTCCATTGGATTCTGGTATTACATTACATCATATGTCTGTTGTTAGATAGTTAGACGCTGTTATCCAAAGTGACTCACAGTTCCTTTCATACTGTGGACAATCCCCACAGGAGCAATTTGGGGTGAAGTGTCTCGCCCAGGGACACAACGACATGCTGACTGCAGCGGGACTCGAACTTGCAGGAAATAAACTCTATTGCAAAACATATGTTTATGATACTAACACGCAGGGGAGAGGGTGGCAGGAGATCTTGAGGGGTGGCATCCCCTGGCAGAAGTATATGCTGATTTAATCGTAGTCATATCAACAATGTTAACTTGGAAAGCCACAATATTTACATTTTAACTCAATAACATTAGGTGACATTATTGTGGCACATCAGCAAAGCCTTAAATATAAATATATAAGGTGGCAGACTTAATTTAATGAATTTTAACTGAACAATAACTGAATGAGTTTGTCTCACTCTTAGACCAGCAGGGGCACCAAATCTATGCAGACTGCTGCAATAAGGACATTAATTAACTGTCTCGTCGATGTTTGTCTGAATTAATATGATAATATTAACAATCATATTATCAGCTGATTCACATATTCATTTATTATTGAATAAACTATATTTTTGGAGGAGTTAATGATGAATATTCCTCAAGATGCTTGATATATCAAAAAATAATCAAAGGAACAGTTCAGCGCCCAACGACTTCATTGCAAACACTTACAACCTTGACTTTACATCAGAAAGAACAAACATTAAAGAAGTGACTAACTGCATCAGTTAGGGTTAAAAAATGTGTATTCAGCTAAAACATAAACATCGCTGCAGTTATTATCCAGTGGAAAGTCTTTACCTGCTGGCCTAGTTCAATCAAAGTGGTTACTTGTTTTTGGCTGGGCAGTGAAGTTTTACACACCGTCTTATTTGACTTTCTCAGGACTTGAAACTGTTTTTTGGGGGCAGACCCACTCAAAGAAAAAAAATGTTATATACACGTAAGGTCATCATCTTAACAGTTTGTTATGCTCATCGAGTCATCCGTGAGCAGAGCATCAAGTTGGCATGCCTATAATATAACAGCTGAATGTGGCGATTACCATCTTGTTCAGCAAAACGCCTCACAGACTTATTAAGATCCAAAGCTATGGTGCTTTTTGATTCAATGCTGAGTACAGCCAAACTTGACAGTCTCTTCTCTGTCATTGTAGACCGCAAATACCTCATTCCTTCCGTCTACTTGGATCCGTGGCTTCTCGTTTTGCGCCGTCCCGTTCAAATGAAATCACCGCCAATCATATTTCCACGCTCGCGCCAGGGCCGGGGGAGGGGTTACAAGGCTTGCGTCTTGTGCTGCATTCACTTGCACTCGGACATTATAGATTTTCTCTGATCAATGTCTGATAAGCCACAACTTTTCTTTCAAAACAAAGCTGCCAACTGG